CCCCAAAACCCCAAAACCCCAAAACCCCTCATGCGAAAATGCATTGATATTTGTTATTAATCAAATTTTGATTGAGGATACTTAAAGCTAGCAGAGAACAAATAGAATTAATATATAAATTAATGAAGCTTCCAAATCATAGTATCTCACTTGTTCTCACACTATTGATTGCAACTCTTGCACCTCTGGCCTAATCCTCGGATGTGCAAGCCTATCCAGGAGTTCAGCTGAGAATCGAGCAAGACTTCTTGGATATGGTTTCTAAGGAACTATTCGAAGTGCTTCCTGTTATCGTGGACAAGATCGACAACTTGCTCCCCAAAGAACTTAACATCTTAATCCTCCATTTCTCAGAAATAGAGTTAAAAGACTTCTAGATAGATCCTGCCAGAGGTAAATTCAAAATTGACGCAAAAGAAAGCGGAATCAAGATGAACTGGGCTAAGCTAGTGAACTATCAATTCCACTGTCACGTCAAGATACCAATCTGGTGGTTCATCTAAATCAACTGGGATATCGATATCTATCTCAAAAATGTTACTGTTGATAATGGTATCTCTCTAACTTCATATGCTCACAGTGGAGCACCCTACGTTGATCTCTACCAGACTAAAATCAATCTAGGAGATTCTTACTACAGAATGAGCGGCAACTTCATCATGTACCTTATCAGCTGGATCACAAACCTCCTCCTCAAGTATCCTCTTCAGGTTCTCATTGATCTCTTCCTGCAACCTGGAATCAATTTCTTTATTAATAACTTCCTCATTCCAGGCACTCTCCACAATGGCTATATTGAGCTCTAGGGATTTCATACCAGTGGCACTAATGCTACGACAAGCCTGATGCTGGACCTTACTCTCCCACAGACTCCAGTTTACACAGACACATCTATCGATACCTTTGACGATGGCGCAGTCTACTTCAAGAACCACAATGAGACATTCACCAAGCCAAACACTCCCATGAAATTCTAAACCAATGATTTCTCCTTACAACTAGTTGCTTCCAGCTTCTCAGTCAATCAAATCGTAGAGACTGTCCTTGAAACTGGTTTAATTGCTATCCCAATCGATCATAGCCAGATCAAGAATCTTATTGGCATTGATCTCACCACCACTATTATGCTTGTGATTGTACCAGAACTTTTCTACCACTACGGTTCTAAAAGCGTGAATCTAAAGTTCACCCCTATCTCAGGCACAAATCTGGACTTCTCTCAGTCCAATTCTACTGTGGACTCCTACCTGTAAATCCTGGCTGATTTCATTATAGTAGAGGCAGACAACTCAACTCAGCTTGCCTTCCAAGCTTTGATGGGAATCGAAGCAGACATTGATCTTTAAATTGAGGATAATGTTAACAAGACCGTCGACTTCCAATTCAAGGACTTGGAGTTGAAAAGCTTCAACGTCACAGTCGATAACTGTTACGTCAAGAACGATGAAGATAACATCAAGACTAGACTCAACGCTATCATGGCTGCTATAGAGCTTTCAGTCAACTAATTCGTTAAGGCTCTTGGCCCTAAACTGCCTCAATTCCAAACATTTGACTATAATCTCCACTTTGATTACTAAGATCATGCTTTTGGCACAGGTATCTCTATCAAGCCAAAGGGTCAATGAATAGATTATTGTTCATAGTAGCTCAAATAATGACTACTAGATTTATAATGATCTTATTATATTGAAAACGGATAGATTTATAATTTTTACTTACTCAGATAATAAGATTTAATTTAATATTATTGATTAAATGATATAATTGTGTCTTATGGGGTTTTGGGGTTTTGGGGTTTTGGGG